TTTTATTCCTAATATGTTGAGGGTTTTTGTCATGAAAGGGTATTGAAATTTTTTGAATGCTTTTTCATTGAGATGTGGTTTTTTTTCTCCCCTTCAATCTGTTAATGTGGTGTATTGCATTGATGTTCTTATATGAAACCATCCTTGCATTCCAGGAATAGTATTGGGTTGTGGTGTATAATCCTTCTAATGTGCTGTTGAATTTTGTTTGCTAGTATTTTGTTGAGGTTTTTTTGCCAATATTCATTGGGGGTAATGGTATCAGATTCATGCTGACCTCATAGACTGAGTTTGGAAGTATTTTCTTCTCTTTAGTTTTTTTGGAAAAGTTTGAGGAGGATTGGTGTTCTCAAATGTTTGGTAGAATTCTCCAGTGAAATCATCTTGTCCTAGACTTCTGTTGTTGGGAGGTTTTTGATTAGTGAGTAAATCTCCTTACATATTATAGGTCTGTTCAGATTATCCATTTCTTGATGATTCATTAGTAGTAGGGTATGTTTTTCTAGGAATTTATCCATTTCATCTAGGGTATCCAGTTTGTTGATGTACAGTTGTTCATAGTACTTTCTTAAAATCTTTTCTCTGTAAAATCGGTAGTATGATTCCTTCCAATATTCCTGATTTTAATTGTTTAATTCTTCTTTCTCTTAGTTTATTAGCTAAAGATTTTTGAGGAACCAATTTTTGATCTCATCAGTTTTCTCTATTGGGTTTTCTGTTCTCTATTTTAATTATCTCTGTTCTAAACTTTATTATTCTTTCTGGTAGCTTTGTGCTTAGTTAATCTCTATTTCTTTAAGGTACAAATTTAAGGTGTTAATTTGGGCTATTATTTTTTAATGTAAGCACTTACAGCTGTAAGTTTTCCCAGCCAGGGCTGTCTTTGCTGCAGCCTATAAATTTTGGTATGTTGTGCTTTCATTTTAGTTTTTCTTAAGTTTTAAAGTTTTTCTTGTGATTGCTTCTTTCTCGTGATATCTTCTAAGAATTTCAATCTCTTAAAATTCAGATTTTTGTTGTTGTTGTTTTTGCCTAATACATGACCTGTCCTGAAGAATGTTTCATGAGCACTTGAGAAAATTGTGTATTCTCCTCTTGTTGAGTAGAGTGTTTCATATATGTTTTTAAAATTCAGTTTGTTTCCTTCTTAATCTTCTGTCTGGTGATTCTATCCATTATTGAAGTTGTGTGCTGAAGCCTCCTACCATTATTGTAGAGCTGTTTCTTCTTATCTGTCAATATTTGCTTCCTATTGTGCTCTGGTGTTTGGTGAATATATGTTTACAATTGGCATGCTATGTTTATAATTAGTGAATTGACACTTTTATTATATGATGTCCCTCTTCATCTCTTATAATAGCTTTTGACTTACAGTCTGTTTTGTCTAATATGTGTATAGCCATATCTGGTCTCTTATTATTTGCTTGGGAAATCTTTTGCCATTTTTGCACTTAAATTTTAACTATGTTCTTAGAGCTATAGGGGCATCATGTTTTGTTTGGTTTTAAGTACATTCTGCCTGTGTCTTTTGAATGGGGAGTTTAAACTGTTTACATTTATTTCTTTTCAAATTTTTATTTAAATTCCAGTTCACATAGAGTGTAATGCTAGTGTTAGGTGTAGAATTTAATGATTCATCACTTATATGCAACACCCAGTGCTCGTCACAAGTGCCCTCCTTTATCCCCACCACCTATTTAACCCATCCTTCTGCCCACCTCCCCTGCAGTAACTCTCAGATTGTTCTCTATAGTTAATAGTCTGTTTTGTGGTTTGCTCAGTTTTTTTTTATTTATTTTTTACCCGTTTTCATCTGTTTTGTTTAAATTCCACACAAGAGTGAAATCATATGGTATTTGTCTTTCTCTGACTTATTTGCTTAGTATACTACTCCCTAGCTCCATCCATGTCTTGCAAATGGCAAGATTTCATTCAGTTTTATGGCTGAGTAATGTTTCATTGTATATGTGTATATATATATATATATGTTTATATGCATATAGACACACACACATACACATATACATACACCATATCTTCTTGAACTGTTTACATTTAAAGTAATTACTGATAGGAAAGGCTTACTATTTTCATTTTGTTAATTTCTGCATGTCTTATAACTGTTTCATGTTTTAACTTTCTTCCTTTGTGTTCATTTTTTTTGTGACCCTTTTTGATTTCCTTATTTCCTTTTTGTATATTCTGTAGATATTTTTTTGTAGTTCTGTAGGAATTACATATAATACCTTAACGTATAAGAACGTATCTTAAACTGATACCAACTTTAATCCCATACAATAACGTTACTCTTTTACGGCTTGCCTTCCCAACTTTGTTATTGATGTAACAGATGACATTTTTACACATTATGTACCTATTAACATAGACTTAAAATTCTTAAGTTCTTTTGTTTTTTAAATGAAAGAGTTGAATTTAATTTAAATTTCAAAAATAGAGAATAAAAAATGGAGTTACAAAGTAAAATTATAATAGTAGTTTTCATATTGTCCATGCACTTGCCTTTCCTGGAGAACTTTATATTTTCATATAGCTTCGAGTTACTGCCTAGCATCCTTTTTTTTTTTAAGATTATTTATTTGAGATAGAGCATGTGCATGCACATGAGTAGGGGGAGGGGCAGAGGGAGAGAATCTTCAAGCAGATTCCCCACTGAGCACAGAGCCCAATGTTGGGCTCATCCCATGACCCATGAGATTGGGACCTGAGCTGAAACCAAGAGTCAGACACTCAACTGACTGAGCCACCTAGGTGCCCCATGCCCAGCATCCTTTCTTTTCAACTGGAAGGACTCTGTTTAAGATTTCTTGTAAGATAGATCTGTTAATGAAGTCCCTCAGCTTTTGTTTATCTGAGAGTATCTTAAAAATTTTTTTCCTAATTTTTGAAGTAGATATAATACTTTGTTGAATAAAATGTTCTTGGTTGACTTTTTTTTTTTTTCTCCTTTCACCACTATAAATATATCATTTTCTGTAAGGTTTCTGCTGAGAAATCCACTGATAGTCTTTTTGAAGATCCTGTGTAGATGTCAAATCGCTTTTGCTTTTAATACTGTTGATGATCATGTTTCTTGGTTGAGATTCTTCGATTTCTGTATACGTATCTTTCCTCAAATTTGGGAAAATTTTGGATGTTACTTCAACTAAGCTCTCTGCCTCTGTCTTTCCTCCTTTTGGGACTCTCATAATGCATATTGATCCATTGATCCATAATGCATACTTACTTATGTCTCATAAGTCTGTTTCCCTCGGTTCTTCTCTTTTTTTTTTTTTTTGGCCATCACTACATTTTCAGATGACCTATTTTCAAGTTTATTTATTCATTCTTTTGTCTGTTGGAGTCTGCTTTGGATGTTCGCTGGTGAATTTTTTAATTCAGTTATTCCTTGTACCTTTGTCGGGGAATGTGTGTGTTTTTCTCTGCTTTTTTTCAAGATTTTTCTTTTTGTTGGCCTAATTTACATAAAACATTGTATAAGTTTAAGGTGCACAACATTATTGATTTGCTACCATTATATATTGCAGTATGATTATGATGGTAGCTTCACTAACATCTCTATCCTGTCACATAATCATCATTTCTTTTTTGTGGTGTGAACATTGAAGATCTAGTGTCTTTGCAACTTTGAAATACATAGTACAGTATTGTTGATTATAATGCACTGTGGTGTGCATTAGATCTCCAGAACTTAATCATCTCCTAGTTGCAAGTTTGTATCTTTTAACATAATTTCCCCAGTTCCCCCACATCCTAGCCCCTGGTAACCAGGATTCTACTCTCTGTTTCTGAGAGTTCAGGCTGTTTAGATATTACATATAAACAATACCATATCGTATTTGTCTTTCTGTGTCTAAGCATAATGCCCTCGAAGTCCATCAGTGTTGTCATAAATGGCAGGATTTCGTCCTTTCTCATGGCTGAATAATTTCCATTGTGTGCATTTATATCAATATCATATCTTTATCCATTCATCTGTTGATGGACAGTTAGGTTGTTTCCATACCTTGGCTATTGTGAATAATGCTACAATAAACATTGGAGTGCAGATAATCTTTTCAACATCCTAGTTTTTTTTTTTTTTTGCCCTATGCCCAGAAGAGGTATTTCTGGATCATATTCAAGTGTTTTATTGTTTTGTTTTTGTTTTTGATTTTCTGTAGTTTGATTATGATATGCTTAGTTGTAGATTTTTTTATTTCCCTGCCTTGTGTTCTCTTAGTTTTCTGGATCTGTGGTTTGGTGTTTTTATCATTAATTTTGGAAATTTCTCAATCATTACTACTTCAAATATTTATGTTTCTTCTCTGTTTTTCCTTTTGGTATTCCTCTTATGCATATGTTACAGCTTTTACAGTTGTCCTACAGTTCGTGGACATTGTTATTTTTTCTTTTACTTTTCTCTTTGCATTTCAGATGGGGGAATATATATATATATATGTATCTTGAAGCTCACTGATACTGGATCTTACAAATTTCCACTTGTTCATTGCAAGTATATTTAAATACAGTTTTTTTTTTTTTGCATATTTGTATTTTATGCAGCTTTACTAGAGTCCTGTTATCTGTATAATTCTGATTAAAATGTTTGTTTACATTACAGTGGGCTATAACCATTAAGGTCCTGGGATCAAGCCCTGCGTTGGGCTCCCTGCTCAGTGGGAAGCCTGCCTCTCCCTGTCCCACTCCACCTGCTTGTGTTCCCTCTCTCGCTGTCTCTGTCTCTGTCAAATAAATAAAAAAATCTTAAAAAAAGAACAAGGACATCTCATAACCCACTTTAAAAAAATATGGATAAACATACAATCTTAGACTAAGTTGAAGAATGAGGGTGAGCTAATAAGATTACAGATTATTTTGTTTTCTGTTATGCACATTATTTATAATTTTTCTTTCATTTATAACATTTAAGGATGAAGTATGCCTTTTTAAAATGAAAAATATTTTAATATTTTAATTTTACTTTTTAAATCTTTTTTTAGGAGCTGTGGCCTTGAAGAATCTTGAAATTAAAGAAAACGCTCTGGTAGGTTTTTGTTTTTGTTTTTTTTCCTCTTAGGCTCTATTTATTTTAGAGAGTGTAAGGTGGGGAGGGGGAGAGGGAGAGAGAATCTCCAGCAGATTCCCTGCTGAGTGGGTAGCCTGACGCATGGCTCATTCCCATGACTCTGAGATTGTGACCTGAGCTGAAATCAAGAGTCAGACACTTAACTGATTGAGCCCCCAGGCATCCCTTTGGTAGGTTTTGAGTATAAAAAATGTGTAATGTCAGAGCATTTATAAATAGGTAGACCTCTTGATTTACTTTATCATCTTAAATTATTCAAGCTTTGAGAAAACTTTTTGAAAATAATTTTTGCAAAATGTGGATTTTACAAAGTGGACTTTTCATCTCCTTAAAACCACAAACTTGTAATTTTCCCTATTTAAAAATATTCCTAATTCTTTTCTTTCTATATGATTTTAAATGGTTAATTGATCTTTCTAATAGTTCTCAAGTTTTGTTTTTTTAATACTGTGGTAATCATTTTTTTACCCAAGAATTCAGTGATATTAATTACATTTATGATGTTGTACAGCTATCAACCAATATCTTCTGTAACTTTTCCCTTAGGTCAAAGGGAACCCTATAACCATTAAGAAATAAGTCCCCATTCCTGTTCCATGTAGATCCTTTAGCCTCTAATCTACTTTCTGACTCTGAATTTGCCTATTCCATGTAGCTCATGTAAATGGAATCGTGCTATGTTTGCCATTCGCTGTTCAACATATTTCACTTAGCATAATTTCTTTAAGGTTTGTCCATGTCGTTTGTATCAGAACATTACTTCTTTTTGTGGCTGCATAATATTCCACTGTATCTATTAGCAACATTTTGTTTATCCATTCATACATTGATGGATACTCCAGTTTTTTCTGCCTTTTGGCTCTTGTGAATAATGTTGCTGTAACATTGGCAGTAACATGTCTGTTCAGTTACCTATTTTCAGTCCCTGCGGGTAAATGCCTATTAGTGGAATTGCTGGATTTTATGGTAGTTTTATGTTTAGCCTTTTCAAGAACTGTCACTCTGTTTTCCATGGTAGCTGAACCATTTTATATTCCCATCACCAACACATGGAGTATCCAGTTTCTCCACATCTTTGCTAACATTTACTTTTTAATGTTCTTTTTTAAAAAAATTTAAGTGTAATCTCCCCAATGTGGGGCTCAAATTCATGACCCCAAGATCAAGAGTCACATGCTCTACTAACTTACCCACTCAGGCACTATTTTTTGTTTTTTGATAATACCTGTCTTAATAGATATAAAGTGGTATCTCATTTTGGTTTTTCTTAGCATTTTCCTCATGACTAGTGAGATTGAGCATCGTATTATGTGCTTTTTGGCCATTTTTATATGTTCTTTGGATATGTCTATCGAAAATTGCTGATTTTTTAAATCATGTTTTTGTTTGAATTGTAATTCTTTAAGTATTCTTATTTTCCCTTATCAGATTATGATTTGCAAAACTTACCCCCATTCTTTGTGTTGCCTTATGCCTCTGTTGACTGTGTCCTTTGATGTACTAATGTTTTTAATCTTGGTGAAATTTCATCTGTTTTGTTCTTTTATTGCTCATGTCTTTGGTATGATAACCAAGAAATCATTGCCAGATCTGATGTCAAGATTTTACCATATATTTTCTTCTAAGGGTTTTGTAGCTTTGGTTCTTATGTTTAGGTCTTACATCGATTTTGAGTTCATTTTTATATATAAGGTAAGGGTCTAACTTCATTCATTTGTGTGTGGATATCGAGTTTTCTCAGAACACTTACTGAAAAAGTTGTCCTTTTCCCTGTTGGATGGGGAGAAATTTTTTTGAGGATATTTTTTGCAAAATGGAGTTTTAACCTCCCTGTGAGGACAAACTGACAGTGAAATTCACCCCCCCCCCGCCCCAGTACAACATAAAGGCAGTATGACTTTGATATGGGTAACTTAGGTGGTCTGTATTACTTTTCCCCTATCTATTTAAAAATGATCAGTCTCCCTGAATTTTGTGGATTTGAGAATATTACAATTATGTATCTATAAATTTAAATAGGTGTTGAAGGTAAAGACAAGGTGTGAGTTAACTTAAACCCTTTAAATAATTTTGGGAAGAAAAAGTTCTCTGTTTTGTTGGCCTGTATATGTACTAATATTTTATATATGATATTTTTGTAGAGTCAACTGGATGTACCATTTAAAGTTAAAGTTGGTCATATAGGTAAGCTGTGCTTATTATTGGAATGTCCTTCTTGCTGGACATAGAGTAAGAATTATATGCTTAGTATCTCTTTAATGTGATATTTTTCATGTTTCTAAGTATTGAATATCATGTGTTCTCATCTGGGTAGAACTTAGTTGTGTAACTTAAAAATACCATGTGGTCCATATATCCCTTGTTTAAAAACTGAAATTATGCATCTTGTTAGGTGTTAAAAATGAGTTAATTGAGGGCCAGTGTGTTAAATAGCATAACTATCTCGGTTTCTTAGGTTTCTGACTAGTTATTGCTATATTCTGATTTATCATGGGTATATGGTCTAAGAAGTCAGGTCTCCATCATCCAGACAGCGTGGCTAGGGACGAGTCAGAAAGTTAGTTTCTGAGGTTGTTTGCATACCTCTCTCCTAGCACCTGTCATTCTTTAGTACCATTTTTTTCTTCTACTAGACAGTAAGTTTAAGTCGGTTCAATTTTTATTCTCACCACTTAGTACAATACCTGGCAAATCGTAGGGACACAATTTGTTGAGTGAGTGAAGTATACACTTCCAAATGAGCAGTATAGCATTAAAACTACTTTTATAGGAACATATTTTCCCCTTGCTATTTTTTTTTAAGATTTTATTTATTTGAGAGAGAGAGGAGAGGTAACGAGTTGGGGAGGGGCAGGAAGAGAGAGAGAATCTTTAAGCAGACTCCCTGTTGAATGCAGAGTCCAGAGGGGCTTGATCCTATGACCTTGAGATCATCACCTGAGCTAAATCAAGAGTCAGACACTTAACTGACTAAGCCACCCAGGCGCCCTTCCTCCTGCTGTTATTGGGTGTTGTTAATCTTACTGCTCTTTCAAAGTTCCCTCATTTAGCGTGCAAAATTACGTATATAGCAAGTATAAATACATACATATTTTAAAAGCTATATTTATGTGGAAGATTTTTGGAATTGCCTTTGTTTATATTTTTTGTATTTTACAAATTTTCTATAAGTCTGTACTTTACTGAGGAAAAAACTTTTTTGTTTCAAGATTTACTGGTGAAAATGGTACATTATTAACTTCGTGTGTGTTTCTTTGATTACTTAATGCTGTTTTGTCACTGTTCTCTGTTCTTTTGTTTATTTGCATTTTTGGATTTGTTTCATTAATTTTTATTAACATATAATGTGTTATTTGTTTCAGGGGTAAAGGTCTGTGATTCATCACAATTCACAGCGTTCACCATAGCACATACCCTCCCCAATGTC